GGAACAGCACTTTATTGAGATATATGTATATATAATCTACATTCACTAAAATGCACAAATCTTAGGTGTACAGTTTGATGCATGCTGACATGCCTGTGTAACCACCCAGACCACGATCCAGAATATTCTGCCATCTGGAAGTTGTCCTCATGCCCCTTTCCTGTCAATCCTTCCATGCAGAGGCATCTACTGTTCCCAATTCTATCACTGGTGAATAGTTTTGCCTGTTCTTGAACTTCATCTGTGTGGAGTCATACAGTTTGTACAGAGACGATTCCCCGAGAACCTGGTACAGTGTCTGGCACGTGGCAGGTATGCCATGTGAAAAAAAGCCTTGGTTCTTAAACCACCCCATGAGAGACCACTGATCCCATTGGGAAACTGAGGCTGAGAGTGGTTAGCGACCTGCCCAGGGCACAAAGCCAATGAAGTGGTGGATCCTGAACACCAGCCCGGGCTCCCCGATTCTGAATCCAAAGTTCTCTCCTGGCCCCCAGCCAGGCTCTCCCTCCCCTCCCTCTGGGCTCCCTTCTAGTGCTCCGTGTGAGGGAGCATGATGATCCTGGGCAGGTAGTGCCCCCTGCTGCCGGTGGGGCCTGACCCAGACCTCTCTCTTCCGTGGGATGTGACAGGATCACGCGGCCTGGAGCCCAGTGCAGTGACTAGCAAAGGGCTGGGGCTCCGCTCCAAGGATGAAAGTCCCCTGTCCTTTTATTTTCCTCTACAATGAGATTTTCCAAAGCTTTGGCGGCTTGCTTTCCCCCAGAATAAAGGGACAGGGAGATGAGGCCTCTTTGGTGGAGTGTTGCTGCCCCCAGGTGGCTGGCTGGGGACACCACCACAGAACAGGATTCCCTGCTGGGCATTTTTCTGGTCTCCCTTCTGTGGCTCCTCATACCCTGGTCTTCTGAATCCTGGTCTCCTTGGTCTCTGAGAGGCAGAGGTCCATCAGGGCCATCACCCAGCACTTCAGCCTCAACCTGGAGAGGGAATCTCCCTCAGAGAACCAGCCCCAGCTGTGTGTGGGGCAGATGTGGCCCCCACACCTCCTGGGGTGGTTGGTCTAGACATAAGCCTCAAGGGCCTGTCCTGCTCAAGAAGCGTTTAATCAGCTGAGATCAAGGTTTGATCGTAGGGCTTCGTTCAGAGAGGGCAGAGGCAGGCAGGGGAGGCTTCTCTGCATGGGGTGTGCACCACCTTCCGGGCCTGCTGCTGGGGCCCGCCAGCCCCTCCCAGCTTGGTGGCCTTCCTGTTGCACCTGTGGTCTGCGGTGTAACGGCCCAGCTGGCCTGGCCCCGGCACGTGGCCCAGGGTGATGCTATCTCGTACTCAGTATTTTTAACTCTTCTTGCAGAGGATGTGGCTTCTGCGGGAGAGCTTCAAAGGGTGCCCTATTTGCCCTTCTCAGCAACCCTGACGTCATGGAAATGAGGAGGGGCGGCCCCAAGCCCCCAGACACCTGGAGGGAAGTGGGAGACTTTTTCCACTTCCTGTCCTACTTCTGGCTACTGACTCAATGTCTGACCTGTTTATTAATTTCAAAATGTAGCTCTGCGTGTGATTTCAGAGGAAACCTATGCAAGTGTTTGTCTGGGTGAAAAGACGCCTGAAAAAACCAGGTCCCCTGACACAGAGGCAGGGCCCTGGCGGTCCGTAGCCCCCTCACCCATCATTGTGCTTATTAACAGAATGACAGCACTGGGTCCCCGTGCTGCTGGCTCCCCCAGGCCCACCCCTCAGTCAGAAGCTCTTCTTCCCACTCACTGCTCCAGGAGTAGACTGGAGAAGGGGTTTTAAGATAGGACTTGTGAAGAAAGTGAGGTGGGACATAACGTGACCTTTTGCCCTGGACCTTGTTTGGTTCCATGGAGTTGGGAGCTCTGAGTCCCGGGCACCCTGGGTGTTTTCCTAGAGTAACCATCCTCCAGGCCTTTTGGGTGAGTGCCTGCCTGGGACTGCGCTGGCCAAGGGGCCATCACTCAGATTTTGCTTTTCCTGACAGTTCTTGACAGGTTACCCTTAGCTCTTGGCGAAACTGAAATAGTGACTCACCTGGCCCCCTCCTCTATTAATCCACAGTTTCCTTTCTCTTGTGCTTCCCATCCCTCCACTCCCAATTTGGCTCCCTCCCCAGTGCCTAATTGCACTAACCATTGATTGTTTGCTTGTTGGTCAAGTGGATATTGAACATCTGTTGTGTGTCAGGCACTGTGCTTGGCATTGCAGACACATGGAGGGACAAGGTACACTTCCCATCTCGAGGAGCGCATAGCTGAGTGGCCTTTCTTGCAAAGATGTTACCTGATAACTAAGGTGATGTCTGTGAAGGGCTTCACATGTGACACCAGGGGAGATGGATTTTATGGACAAACCAAGAAGATAAATGATTCTTCAAGACTCAGATGGCTGCCTCTCCAGTGGTGGGTCATGGCAGAGGGTCATGCTGTTGGAGCTGAAGACCCCACCCAGGCATTCCTGGAGTACATACTTGCTTGGCCTGCCCTTCTCTTGACTGGACTGTGATTCCAGTTATACTCAGAGGGCAGGTCTCTGGGCGAAGTGTCAGAGAATCCTCTAGAATCTTAGGCCTGGAGTCATGAGAAGTCATTTGGTCCCTTCTTCTGCCTCCAGGGCAGGCCTATGCTTAAGCCTTTTGGGGCAGGAGGGCGTCTGTCCAGAGAAATCTCTTCTACAACCGGTCCTGGAGATGTGTACCCCCTGGGATGGTGGGCTTTGCTCTTGAGGCCGGTCCCTACTCATGGAGATGGGGGCTCTTCAGGGCTCAGCCTTCCTATGGACTTGATGACTATGTCTCCAGGTTTCCTCAGCAGCCTCTTCCCTCCAGGCTGGAAAATCTCTGGTCCCTTACTTCCCCGAGGGGCTCTGCTGCTGTGGCCCAAGGCCAAGCACTGACCCTCCTAGTGGTCACTGGAACCCTTCCCCTGGGCCTCCTCACAAGGCCACTTTAATTCCCTCGGACACCCCAGGTGGGCTGGGGCCAGATGTGAGAACAGAGTGGACAAAGATGAGTGGAGTCTCTGCACCGCCCCTCAGCACTCCCACTTGCTCCTGGTCTGCCCTCCGACTCGACCCTGCTTGGCTTTAGGCTTAACAGCCTCAGACTTGAGGAAAGGTTCTTGCTGAGATGGAAGCACCTTTTCAGGCCTTCCTCCCTCCTTGGGTCTGGGTGGATCCCCAGCCGCCGTCACCACATCACCCCATATGTCCTCAGGCAGCCTTAGGGGTCCAGTGACCATGGGCCCTGCCCTCTGAGGGCCCCGGGCTGGCACGACTCCATAGCCTCCCTTGGCCTCCTTTGGTTTGGGCCTCCTTCAAGGTTCTTGGAGGTGTCTGTCTTTGGCCCCTTCACTGCCTTCCAGGGTCCCTGCTCGTGTCCCCTGCCCTCAGCCCCCATGTCCGCTTCAGCCTCAGCATCTTTGCAGGCAACTCTCAGGAACAGACCTGCCTCCCTGGCCACCCATATGTCCCTTGCCTGATCTTTTGTATACAGACCAGAGTAAATCACCAATTTAGGAGAAAAAGAGACAAACTAACTTTCCCTAAGTTTTTAACAGTTGATAAAAGCTTTCTCTATTAACCCTCTCTGGGGCATTTTCATTTATTATGGGGAAGAGAATGCTTTAATTAAAAGAAATTCTCAGTGGTGGCGTCTCTGGCATTGTGTCAGACTAATGAGGATGGAGTTGTGAGTTCTGTGCAGATGGCAGATCCCACCTTTGGGAAGGTGGTACCTGTCCTCCAATGTGGAGAGTGACCTACTGTGATGGGATTTCCTCTGAGACCTTTCCCTTTAGCGGTCTTTAAAGGGACTCATATTCAGGCTGCAGATGAGGTGGCTCAGAGAGAACTGGGGATCCTGTGACTGCCCTTGGTAGGGCTGGCCAGGAGATGGGCAGTTGTTTTTGGTTCTACAGAGGTCATAGAACCAGAGATGCATGGAGCTGGAGGCAGCCCCCAGTCCTACCTGACATTTTATAGGTGGTGAGTGTGCAGCTCATGGGAGGGAAGAACATGCCTAGGTCACCTATTGAGCTCGTGGCTCCATCCCTGTGAAAAGGAGCCAGAATTGTAGCTGGAAGGATTTGCATATTTCTGGCTGGTGTGGTCAGAGACACACAGGTGAACCGTAGAGGTGTTTGGGGATAGAATGCCCTCCCATCCCTGGGGAATTGGTAAGCAGTGGGCTTCGGTCTTGATTGTGATAATTGTGAGGTGGATGGCTGAGTGGTTTCTGAGGGGTGTTCCCATCGGTGTCCGTGACCCCAGGAAAGGTGCTCAGGCAGCAGGAGGTTCAAGAGAATCCTAGGGTCCCTGGGGAATCCCACCTCCGTCCTGTGGGTGAGGACTGGAGACATCTACTCTCCTTGGCCGAGTCCCTGGGCTTGAGGGGAGAGAGCGCATCTCTTCTTTCCTCATCCTCACATCCAGGATGTTGGGAGCAGAAAGGCTGGCTAGGGTCACAATCTTCTCCCCCCTCCCCCACTCTTAGACTGGACGCCTCAAGGGGCTGGGCACTGGTTGGGACTCAGGCAGTGGAGGGGTGGGTGGTCCCCAGCTGTGAAATTGTGGGGCGATGCACAGTTTCAACAGGAATCTAGTCTGAAAGGAAATGTTCCTGAAGGGCCAGAGACAGTGGGTGGCATTTTGGGGACACTTGCTGTGTGGTCCCTGTCTGCCAACTACGGATCATTTCCAACCATGTACAAGGGCCTCCTGCTACGGGTGGCCCAGCAGTGTGGCATGAAAATGGAAGAGCAGGGACCCAAGTTTTTAAGTAGATTTGCCTGGCTCCCAGCACAGCCTTCAGAGTGGAATTTTTCAGAGGTTATTCCGGGAAGAGGTTGACTTAAGCAGCTTGTCGAGTTAGGCTCCCTCAGTGTCATCATGGACAAATGCCTTGGTTTCTTTCTGCCCAGCTAGTGACCAATGGCAAACTGAAAATGACCCCACGAAACCCAGTCAAACAGGAGCACAGTCTCTGCTCTTCCAAATCGCTTTTAATGAAGCCATGGGCAGCAGAATATACAATGTGGTTCACATACACAGCATAGCAGGGCCTAGATAATGAGATAATTTTCCCCACATCTTGGGAAAAAGGGTGATATGTATTTCTTTATGAACACTATTGAAAAAAATATAAACTTCTCACAACATTCTCCGGGAGCTAGAGCTCAAGAGAAACCATGGGGGATCCATCATCCAGTGGGAACAGAGGCGGTCTCTGGGGAGGGGCAGGAGTTCCTCCACAGCCAGGAGAGGCTGCAGCAGCCCCGACCTTTGCTGGGAATGTCAGGCAGTGACAAGCAGCAGTGAGGGAACAGAGGGGGTGGCAGCAGTGTTTGGCAGCTCTTCAGCATCTTGATCACAGATATCCTGTAGGATCCAGTTGGTGGCATTGCCAGTGGGGCCAGAGAGGCGGAGGGAGCCTTTTCCCCCTTGGGGGCAGAGGGTGCGCCTCTTTGCTTAAAGAGGGAAAGGAGGGGTGGCGAGGAGCAAGGAGTGAGGGAGCACTGGGCTCTCACATTCTTGGCGACCTGGGATGAGGAAGAACAAAAATCAGGCTGGTTACAGAGGAGCCCCAGGACGGTTAGGGATGTGATGGAGATACCTCTGTTTGTAGAGTTCTAGGAGCAAATGGACCCTGGGGTTCTTTTTTTCTTTCTTTTTTTTTTTTGAGGAAGATTAGCCCTGAGGTAACATCTGTGTCCAATCCTCCTCTTTTTGTTGAGGAAGACTGCCCCTGAGCTAACATCCGTGCCCATCTTCCTCTACTTTATATGTGGGATGCCTGCCACAGCATGGCTTGCCAAGCGGTGCCATGTCCACACCCGGGATCTGAACTGGTGAACCCTGGGCCGCCGAATTGGAATGTGCGCACTTAACCACTGTGCCACCCAGCCGGCCCCCTGGGTTCTTTTTGATGGTGGTGGAATGGGAGGCATTTGTCAGCAGGATGACCAGGGACACTGGGGGAGAAGGATGTGGAGGCTCCAGCCAGTAATATGAGTATAATATCTTCTTACTTGAGTGTAATGTCTCCTTAATATGAGTATAATATCTTCATATTACACCAGGTAGGACGTAATATGAGTATAACAACTTCTCGCCATATTGGGGGCAGAGGACATGAGGGAAGGAATTGGGGGCCCCTTTAGGTTTTGCAGTGAAAGGGATACAACAGAAGGCTTGGGTTTGAATGAGTCAGGGCCTGAGTCTTTCATCTTCTGCTCATTAGTGTGGGGCCCTTGCTGTTACTTGGCCTGTTTCTTCATTTTCAAAATGAGGATGATAACAACTGTTCTTCATACTTCGAAGGGGAGACATGGCTCAACTGAGGTGACCATTGTTCCCTGAGGCGTGTATTGTGTTACACAAATGTTGTAAACCACTGTTATTAACAAGAGGAACTCGTCACAGGGAAAAAAGGAGTTTGGTGGGCCGAGACTCAGGACCGAAAGCAAGATCCTGGGGGGAGGTTTGCTTTCAGAGCTTGGGGACCCACCCCAAGAACTTCACCGCCCCCCACCTTCCCGCCCCCTGGCTGAGATGCCTACTCACCTCAGCTGGACCACAGCCGCAGTGTCATGAACAGGTTAAAGCCGACCACTTTCAGGAGGAGGATGCGGAACCCAATCAGTGACAGGTTTTGGAGGTTGAGATCCATATCTGCAAAACGAAGGGGCCAGAGTGGGTTATGGATATACACACTTAGGGTCTGCACAGTCCCCTATGACACACCAGTGGCTTTCCCAAAAGCAGGGTGGGGCAGGTGGGGGTGGGCTTCAGCTCCTCGATCACCTCTCCCTTTGAACTTCTGTGCACATCTCCTCGTAAACATATGTATACATTCCTCCGGGGTCAACAGTATTTCATTTCAAAAGGAAAACCCCTGATATATTTAGTCCTTATTTTATTTCTGAGCCCCTCAGGGGATGGGGATGGGTGGGTGCTCAGAACTTAATGCACGCAATCCCTGGGGTCTGGGCCCCTTGGTGAGAATCTAGTGGCTGAGCCACAAGAGGGATGACTCAGTGAAAATGTCTCAAATGGAAATGAGTATGGGCCCAGAGTAGGTGGTGAGGAGTGGTGGGAATCCTTGAGAGGCAGGATCGCCACCTACATGAGTTCTGCTGCTTTTCTTGAAACAAGGCAAAGCCCTGGGCTCTGGAGGGAACACGTCCTCAGGACAACTTGGTTCATTTAGAGCTACAGTAAGCCAGTCAGAAATTTTGCAGCTGGGCCACCCAGAAGCTGTCTCTGGCTCTCCTGCCAGTGGAGCAATTGAAAGGAATACAGAGGCCTAGGAGTGAGTCATTGGTCTAGTAAAACCAGAGACTCATTCTTGAAATACTCAGAATGGAAAAGAAAATTAGAGATGGTGAGAGGAACCTGGGGATTCAAGAATGATCCCAGGCAGTTCTGAGCAGGGCTCGAACTGCTGTTCCGTTCCTCATTATTTCATTCCTAGATCCACAAATTCCTTCCCACCTCCCCAGTCCTGTCAGGGCTATTGTGGGTTCATTGCCTCCCCAAACCTGTGCCAAGCTGGGATAGACCCTTCTCTTACCTGTTTCAAAGCCTTTCTCTGTCAACTGGGCATCACAGGAATAGTCTAAAAGGAGAAACAAAGAAATTTTCTTAGAGTCCGAAGCGTGCTGACTTTCCCATGCCAGAGCTCCTAGGAGTTGGGCAGGTGAATGTCTACAACCTTTCCATGCTTCCTGTGGGAGAGATCTGGAAGGAACTTGTCACATATGGGCACCTGCTGGGGAGAGCTGCTGGCCCTGGCAGGACCAACACTCTGGCTTCTGGGCACCATTGCATGCAGTTGACAAAGACTGGTTGTACAAAGCACATGTTATGTGACCTGAGGCCATAAGGAGCCTGCAGACAGAGACCCTGCCCCGGGGCAGTTCCAGTCTGGAGTCCAATAGAAGCAGTAAGACACACGCAGTGACAAGTGCCATAAGGAGGAGGGATGCTTTCGTGTATTCCACAAAGGTTTGATCCTTGCACTCCAAATTTGTTCCTTTGTTTCCTCCATCTCAGTAAGTGGCACCATCATTGACTCAGCTGCTCAGGCATAAAATCCAGCCACCTTCCTTGATCTCCTCTTTTCCTTCCCATCCCTGCATGGTTCTACTGTTGAATCTCAAATAGTGTTGGCCACTCAACTCCCCAGCCACCACCCTGGCCAGGCTCCATCATCTCTCTGCTGCAAGAGGTTCCTTTCTGTTTCCTCTCTTGGCTTCTACAATCCATTCTCCACTCAGCAGTCAGAATGTCTTTTAAAAAAGTAAATTAGATGTCATTCCCTGCTTAAAGCCAGTCGAAATCTTCTCACTGTACTAGCATAGTAACTGCCCTCTCATGACCTACGAAGCCCTGTGATCTACTCTTGCTACTTCTTCCCTCCCATTTCCGACTGTTCTTCTCCCATTGTACTCCTGTCTCAGGCCTCCACAGGGTCCTCTCTCTGCCCTTGGCATGGCTGGTAGCTTCCTATCCTTCAAATCTCAGCTCACATACCATTTCCCCAGAGAGAACTTCCTTGACTTTTGTCCCTAACATGGCCGTTTCCTCAACTCCAAGTGAAAGCACATAGTACAGTCTGAAGTTCTCTAGATTTCTGCTTGCTGATGAATGGCTCCCCCCTCCCCCACCCCACCGGAATGGACCTTCCTCAGGGCAGACCCCTCATCTGACTTGTTTCCTCCTCTACTCTAGCATCTGGCATGTTGTACGTGCACAGTCCATGGCTGTGAATGAATGAATGAGTGACTGAGTGAGGTTAAGAGCTGGGAAAGATATCTGACAGAGAGAGAGAAACAAGGGGAGATATCTTGAAGAAGCACATTATAATGGGGCCTGGAAGAGGAGCAAAGGTCAAACAGCCCTGAGCAGAGGCAGGGAGGGGGGAACAGAGGTAGGTGAGACTAAGGGCCAATGCACTTTCCAGCTGCCTGAGCCTTGTCTGCTTTTTGCCTACGACATTCTGTGGCTTTCGAGGATGGGGGTGCCTGGTGATCAGTAACAAGAAGGGGCTTTGCTGGCAATTGATGAAGCTGAGAGTCAGAGCAGCTTTTAGATACTATTGACTTGGGCCCTGGGCACAACGAGGTCTCTGGAAGTGAGGAGACACCAAGGCTGCACTCACTTGAGCTGGAGTAGAACTCTATCTTGTTGAAGGTGTCATTGCATGTAAAGTCAGATGTCTTGCTCCAGGCCAGCATCCCATTGCTCTTGAAATTCATGACCTTCATGTCCAGCGTAGTACTGTTGAAGAAGAACACTCCTTCTTTTCTGAAATTCCCTTTATCTTCAGAATTAAAATCGGTGAATAGGCAGATGGAAGTATCGCTGGATTTAGGGTTTCTCAGCTGGTATACGGAGGGCTTCGGGTCCGTGATATCTGTGGGCCAAGAGGACCAGGGTTAGGAGATGATAATTTTCCATCTTTCCCCAACCCAGGCCTGAGTCCAGATGCCAGTGATGGGCAAGAGCAGCTGGCAAGTCACATTCTCAGGTTTTAGATGGGAAAGAACATTCTAGAAACCAGCTGCTCACAATGGACTGGGACTGAGGGACAGGCACAAGCCACAAGTCCTGGCCAAGAAGCCAGGTTGTCAGTGAATGCTCTTTGCCGGGCTCTGCCTGCCATTCAAGGAAACCAGAAATGCAAGGCCACTTAATGATAATGATAACTGGTTATTCTTCTACTTAACAGGAACTTCTTCAGAACCTCAGCAGGCCTAATAAACAAAAACATAGATTTGGCAGGCAAAGCAAGCATAGAAAAGTGGCCCAGCCCAGCAAACCATACATCTTGGAATCTGGGGTGGTCTCCCCGACTTAGTCTGGGTATTGACAGGAATTGGAGGTTTATGACAGGCTATCATTAAGTCGGAAAATGGCTCACGTGACCAGGAGATTTCTCTCATCGGTAAAAGTTTTGGATTAACAATCTGAATACCGGCGTCCAAGCCTGGCTCTACCGTTTACTAGGTACAAGGCCTTGAGCAAGCCACACCAGCTCCCTAAGTCTCAGGAATTTCATCTGTGAAATGGCGATATTGCCTTGTCCACCTTCCTAACCAGGATACTTTGAGAAACAAATGAGTTTCTCCATATAAAATTATATTTAATGAACTGTAAAGTACCAAACAAATGTAAGTAATTGTAGCTATTGTGACTACCAGGATATTGCCATGATAATGTGCTACTGAGTAATAGAGTCAGTTTCTACTCTACCCCAGGAAGCAGGAGTTACTGGAGGCTCTTCCTTAGTGCTGAGAATCACTCTTCAGTGTTTCTGTAGGACTTTGTGTTTTTAATGTGACTTTCATTGTTTATTCGTTTAGACCTCCTGCCTTTAGAAGAGGAAGCGGAGGTTTGCTGGGAGGATTAACACATTGGGGCCACCCAGAGAGTTTACAGCGGGGCTGAGAGGAGAGCTTCCTGCCCCTGTGGTTCTCTGCTCCCACAGCTCCTCACCATGCATGCAAGGCTTCTCAGACCAGCCATGCACCCCACTTGCTGAGCCAGCCAGGGTGACCTTGGCAACGCAGACACTGAGCTGGACCTGAAACCAGGGAAATCAGCCCTTGGCATGGCCTTGAGATGCTGGGTCAAGGCAGAGTCGCCTGCGGGGTGGGGCTGCCCTTGGAACAGCAGAGCTAGGGTGGGTCTATGGTCACATGGGAGGGACATCCAAAGTTCTGGCCCCAAAGGATTCTGTCTGCTCCCCTCCAATCTCCACATACCTGGAGAGCTGACATCATGTGGGTTAAGGTCCTACAGCATAAATAGTTTTTTACTGGGAAGGGAGAGACGGGAAGCCATTTTGTGTCACCCAAATGCCCCAACGGATTTGTTAGTCATCTGTAGGAGTGGGGAGTGTGACATGGCTGCGTGTGGAGATGCTGAGAGAATGTGGCCTCAAGAAGAAGGCAAAGGATAAGGTGCCACCAGATGCAGTTTGGCCTTAGAGGGGAAAGGGAGTTGCTGTTGGGGCCAGATGCCCAACTTTGAGTCCTGGTTAAACATTTACTCAAGTCCTAGAGCCACTGGGTGCCAGACTGGAGGTCTTGACCACACTGTCCTGTATGATAGTCTTTAGCTACATGTGGCTATTTAAATTAAAACTAACCAAAATTAAATACAATTAAAAATTCAATTAAAAATTCAAACCTTTTTTTAAGAGCTCAATAGCCACATGTGGCTGCTGGCTACTGTATCAGACACTGCAGATTAATCAAGCATTTCCACTGTCACAGAAAGTTCTATGGGGAAGCGTTGGTCTGGAGAGAGCAATGCCATGGAACACAAGGAAAGGGAAGGGGCTGAGTGTGCGACTTAAAATCCATCTTTAAGTTTGTAAGGGTGACTACCAGTGGCAGGCCAATTGTGGCTCAACTTTGCTAGTGAGAGATCAAAACGAAGTAGCAGTAAATGAAGTCAGAAGACTTGAGGTGATTTTTTAGCCTCTCTCAAGTCTCATTTTTACCAGTTGATACACTTTGGGCTTCCCCATCTGCATTTTTGCTATTGTTTCTCCCACCCAGCTTCCTTGCCTCTGATTTCTGCTCTTGCTCACCCTCTCCCTCTCACCCCACCTCAATCTATTCTTTGAGCTCTTCCTGTGAAGTAGTTGTCTAAAACATGGAGCTGATTGGATCACTTTTTGTTCAAAATAATTCAGGGACTCCTATTGCCTATAGAATGATGCTCAAACTTCCTGGCATGACATCCAGGGGCTGCCATGATGTGGAGAGCTGGGATTTCCTCTCTCAAGTCCTTTATATGCCCTATATGAGTACAGCTGCACCAGGCTCTTCATATTGGCTCCCTGGAATGTAAGCTCTTTCACAACAAAATCCTGTCTCTGGTTACTGCTGTATCCTTAGTATCTGCCACATAGTAGGTGCTCAAGAAACAATTGTTGAATAAATAAATGGGCTAGTGACTATAGATTTGCAAAATTTCTGCTTATTAGAATTTTTGGTCAAAACAGCTGGGTACTGAACCCTAAACTATTTTTTTTTGTCTGAAAATATGAAATGAGTCACTTTTAATTTGGAGGTCTTTAGGGATCCACTGCTAGAGCCCTGGGAGAAGAGACATCCTCTCCCACCTTAGCAAGATAGACACATGTTACCACTGATGATGTCTTAGAACGTAGCCTTAGAAAGACTGGATCAACTTTTTGATGTGGAACTTCAGCTGTTCTAGATCCTAACCTTTCATTTTAACTTAAAACCAACCACAGAAGGACATGTCCAAATGGTCTAGTGCTTCAGATCCCCAGGGGCGCAGCAGTGATTGAAAGCTTCCTTACCACTAAATCTGTGCTTTGTTGTTAAGTACTAGGAACCCAGAAATGTGACTCTGGGTCCCGCTGAAGCTCCAGTGAGTGTCAGGAAGCAGTGAGCCTGGGCTGACTTACCAGGAGTAATGGAAACTCTGGTTCCTTTGCCAAATTGAAACTGGGAGGCAGCATCTTCATACCACTCTCATTGTCTCCATTTTAAAAACCTTTAGGTGTCTCCTCCTCTGAGGGATGGGGTAACCTCTTTCAGAGCCCTCTGAGGAAGGAGAGGGGAGGTCCCTAGGCCATGAGCCATCCATGGAAAGAGCTGGCCCCTCTCACCTTCACATCTGGTCTGCATTTCTACGTTGGATTCCCAGTTTCCCAAGGCCTGGCCCTGGCCCTAATTGTCTGTATTTTGTTGAAGGCTCTAGCATTCCTTTTCTCTTCTGTCTAAGAAGACATCTTCTTTGTCTTTCTCTCCATCTGACTTTATTATCAGATGTGTTTACTTAGGTCGAAATGTACCTGCCTTGTTCATTCCCAAGATCATGCCTTCTTTCTTGTTGTTCCTTATTCCTGGAAGTCCCCTTCTCTCCTTTCTTTGCCCATAAAGATCTTACCTATCCTTCAGGCTCAATGAATCCTTTCTAGTGCGTGGAACCTTCTCCATCTAGGCCAACTTTCCAGCCAGGACCCTACTCCTCTGAATCTCTAATGTACCTATTGACAGCATCAATTAGGTAATGCTAAAGTAGTTTTCAGGTAGCTAAATTTACGTTAGCTCTGTCCCTTTGGCTGGTTGTTATAGTATTTGGGGACAGGTCAGACATTTATCTTAGCCTTCATACTCAGTCTAACATTTTATAGTGATGGCCACATAGAAGGCATTTAAAAATATCCATTGAATGATTAAAGTCAAATTTTAATGTATTTGATCTAGAGAAACACAGATTTTCAAAACCGATAGTGATGGTTTTTCCCTTCACAGAGCCCTCTGTAAGACAATTAGTTATAACACCCACAGTTAGCCTTATCATAGTAATACTGATATCCCCAGGGAAAGGAATAGTGACACTGGCCAATGGGGTTACAAATGGTGCCACCCAGGGTGACTTACCAGCTATTATGGACACTTGAGTTCCTTTCCCAAATATGGGTTTCCCAGACATTCCTCCGGTACTCACACTGCAGGTGGCACCATTACAGAAACTCACTGGACCTACCTCCTACATCAATAGGAGAAGCGCTGATCTCCCAAGGACAGGAGAATGACACTGTCTAGAGTTAGACTTTCTGCTCTTTCGTGTTGAGACTTTGTCTCTGGTGTGTTCAATCCTTTTCCTCTTTCCCCATCCTACTGTAGTGCCCTGGGTTGGATGTTGTGATTTCAATAAACTAAGAATTCAGTAGAGCAAAAAGCCTTGTTCAGGGTAGCAGTATGTTGGATCCTCTTGTGGTAGATTCAGGACTACTTGCTCATCACCTGACTTGTGATCCTTAAGATCCCAGCCTAAGGATGTTTTGGAGCATTGAATAAAGAATGCGAGGATTTTCTGGGGATGAGTGGAAAAAACTGTTTGGGATCCTGCAGAAGCAAATACCTAGTTTTAATTCAGCATCTTGGACAAAGAAGAATTACCCATCAATGTTCACCTTGCCCTACTCTACTTACTTGGCTGGACTCTCAGTCTGGTCCCTGCTCCAAAGATTAACTTGTACCACTGTTGAATCCCACTGCAGGTAAGGTCTGTGCAATAGCCTTCCTGACATTAATGTGCTGGAAACCACCAGGCTCTGAGACCAGCATCCTAAAAGGCTCCCTGGGTCTTTGTTTCTTAGATCTTCTATTTCCCAGGTAAGCTGGTCCCCTGTCCCTTTATAGTAATATAAGCCTTAGTGTTGTAAAGCCTTGATACTAGTAATACTATTTTAGAAAGCTACCATTTATTGATTACTTGCTATATGCTGGGCATTGTCTCATATTACAGTGTGGTTATTGTCATTTTGCTGATGAGAAAGTGGAGATTTTATTAGCAGGAGAGGGTAGAACCAGACTTTTCTCAGATCTGCCAGCCTCCCAAGTCGTGCTATAAACCCCATTC